TTCCAGACTATCCTCTACATCTATACCAAATTTCATCGAAATACGTTCAGCCGTTTAGGCTACAAACTCTAACAAACATCCATCCATCCATATAAACTTTAGCATTTATAATATTAGTATGATAGTATAGTATAGTATGATATGATATGATGTAATTTTTTTTTATTTTAATCCAATAAAATACTTTAAATTTTTTGCAATTCAATTATGTTAAAGTATATTAGGTTAAATAAATTTACATAGAGAAAGGGAATGTGTCTTATAGGCATTTCCAATTAGACCTGACCTTTATCATACGAAGACATAATTCACGCATACAAATTATATTGAAACAAACTATCAACAGAGGGCTGAAAATTATACAGAGTTAAGAACGAATAGAGTTGGCATGGTCTATAAATTAAATTAATATGTTTGTATTATTAAAATAAACACAATTAAGTTATGTCTACATATTTACAATCAACATTCAAAGTTAAATCATTACGATAAGTAGTTACATAAAACATCGTAACCATGACCTAAATATTTATATTGCTAGTTTAAATTTCGTATGGGTTGACTTAACAAATAAACATCTCTTTGAATTAGCTGAGTACATTACACAACTTAATTATGCTTCATTGGTTAGAAATAGGCGTTAGCATACTCAATATATCCAAAGAAGCCTTAAGAATGCTTAATATGTAACCGTGTAAACCTTCTATGTTATGCTTAAAGTAATCTTATTATATTAGAGTAGAACAATGTTAATCGATAGTAAAACGTGCCTCTAGTAGCTGCTCTGTGATGCTTATAGGACGACAGACATATTTGACCCGGTGAAAGTGATAAATTTCACACCACATGATGCCTACGAGAAAACAGTGGTAGAGCCCGCTTTAACATCTTCGCACGAATGATCCGGCTCACCCGGTGAAATACCACAACCATACAGAAGAAAGGTATCAAGTGGGAGCAATTCCGTGTTTCGTCTGATGAGTGTGGTGCCGGAGGACCAACTTTAGTCCCTTTTCTTTCCCACCCTTTTTCTCTTAAGAACAGGTTGGGAAGGGAACATGGATTTGACGGCGGAGACGCATAGAAGGGAAACATCTTTATGTGCATCTCCTCTCCCGTCGATTAAGGGTAGGCAACGCTTCTGCTATTGCGAATGTCTATGGGCAGTGGTCGCTTTGCCATTTTGGAGAATTCAGGTGGCCGCTTGCTCGTTTGCCATGCCATAATATAAAAAAAGAGTATAGTTCAACAAGCATTTTGTGATAAAATGGATATCGGACAGTGTGCATCTTTACACTTAAGTTTGCCCCATTAACTTTGTAACTTCTAATATACACTATGTTCTGACAGTTTTAACTTGAGAGTCGAACTGTTCAATTAAGACTGTGCAGTTCAACTGATTCTGATCTATCTATTATTTTTGTAGACGTCAACTGCACTCATACTGATGTTACATTTATCTCTTCATACTGTTGATGAGGGGCAAGCTGTAGATCCAAGTAAGTAACAATAAGTAAATTTTCTCGAATTCATAATTAAAATTAGCTATCAACTAGAAACATGAATCATCATCTCCCCTGCCTTATCCTACTCCCGTAGGGTCGGCGCACCGGGTTTTCGTCCTCCAAAGCATTCTATCATCCGTCATCTCAGTCATCACTCCCTTCTTGATCATGTCACCTTTCACGCAATCCATCCATCTCTTTCTAGGTCTACCTCTACCGATGTACCCCTCCACATTCATAACTAATATCCTTCTTGTCACATGCGATTCATCCCTTCTCAGAACATGCCCATACCACTCTAACCTTTTACTCCTTATTTTCTCAACCACTGGGGCTACTCTCAAACTTCCTCTAATATACTCATTCAGAAACATGAATCCACATTCAATTAGACTTATAATTAAATTAGACTTAAAATATTAGACTAGCTGTTCCCGTGCGACTTTATCCGCATTAAATTATGAAAAAATTATTTTATTATTTAAATGTGTCAAATTATCAATTGCAAATATCATGACATGATGACAAACCATGGCAACCTTGCTTCCTCGCTGTTGGCACGAACTTATGGTCTCTTTCCCACATTAGGGTCTATATCCAAAATATTTACTCCCTTAGTTTAATGGCGTGAAAATATATAGCCTAGAGTGTGAGGTAAGTGTAGGGCTTTTCATTGAAAAAAGAATTATTTAAAAATATGCTGTAATTGCCAACATCTTAGGCAACAAAGAAGTGTGTTTACGCTTTATATAATAGTTTAGATTTACTTGAGAAAATACGGTTTCAATACTTGTAAACCTAAGCTTCAAGGAATGTGGATTCACAACTTACATATATTGCTTTCACCTTTACATGTACACGGGTTTTATGAAGATTAGTAATAGCGCGCGCCTTTGACTAAACTATCATACAACTGTTTAGTCGAGCTTTGGTTCCTATAAGCTTATATGAAGGAGCGCACACTACTCAATTTTTAGTTGTGCAACTAAACAGTTAAAT